AAGTGACTTGACTGAGGTCACACAGGTAGTAAAACTGTCATATCTGGGGATCTAAACACAGGTCTTCTGACCCCAGAGTCAGTATTTTTTCCATTAGGCCACCCTGCCTCACCATAAAAATAAGCAAATGCCATCTCCTCAACTCATTGACCTGATTTACTGGAGTTTTCTAGCTCATCTATCTGAATTTCCTACTCTGCTATGATCACTAAGATCCAGCTAGTTAGGCTGATAGAACACAAGACTCAATGTGAAGAACATGGCTTTATTGAGAAAATGAGTGGTTAGGGAGCAGGGCATAATAGCGCAAAGACCCCTGGATTGGGAATTTGGAGACCTCGGTCCTACTCCCCACTCTGTCCTCCGTATGCTCTTGAGAGAGTTGTCCCTCCATGGGCTCCTGGGAAATGAGGTGCTTGGGATAAATGTTCTTTAAGGTCTTTACTAGTTCTAACATTCTATTCCTGTCTAGTCTCTGCATCAAACTATACCAAACCAACTTTCCCTCTACCAATTCAAAAATGCCAGAGAAATAGGTACCTGTGCCTATGTATTCAAAAGATTTTCTAGATTTCCTCCATTTATTTCCTCTGGATATTGATGCCATCTTCAAACTATAATGATTTAAGTCTTTTCTACCTGAATCAATACACTATTATACAACTGTCACACATCATTAGCTGGGGACTTGTGGGTTCTGTTTTTAACTGACAGGCATCCATTCAGATTCACACTTAAACAGATCACAGTTTTTAAGTCAACTCTCTACCTAAACAGTAAACAGAATGCCCAACTGGGTGAATTCCAGTTTGTTTAGAGCTGCTGCTAAGTCACCATAGTTTTCTTGAGACTGTCTAACAAACAGAAGACCAAAGTTTGATGAAATTACACGTGCTAGAAGGGAAATTTAAAGCAGTTCAATTCTCAGGCCCAAGGGCTAGACAAACAAGACTGAGTCACCATGCATATCAGAATAAATTCTTAGCTTCACAGAACTATAGAGCATCACCGTTAAAAGAAAATCTGAAATCATTCAGTCCAACATCCATGCATGTAAGTAAATGCTCTGATCACAATGGTGTAGCAGTATGCTGTCATGAAACTTCCTTTCTGTATACTCACTGTACGGTTTAACAGAAAAGCTCTACTGCTACTTTTGTCAAATTTCTGGACTTTCTGGACATTCTGAATGAATGTTAAGATGATGACATGTGACTCCTCGGCTTTTGATACAACGGAAAAAACATTGAACCTGGAGAAGAGTGGATTTGGGTTCTAATTCTGTTCAGTCTCCTCTGTGAAACCATGACCAAATTAGCTGTCAAATATCGCTACCTGCTGTGTCTCCTTTACTGAATTGTTGTTACATAGCTAAACTTAATTTCACCCATCCAGCACTGAGCTCCATACACTACAAGGGCTTAATAAATGTATTAGTAAGGCAAATAACAGATGTGAAGGTGCTTTGCAATCATAACATGCTATACTACACAGAGATGAGATCATTATTATAAATGACTTCATTTATATATATATATATATATATATATATATATATATATATATATATATATATATATATATATTCATTCTAACCAGAAAACTCAACAAATTCAATTCAAACATTAAGCACCTACAATGTGCATAAGAAGATCCTCCCCCACCCCACCCCCCAAAAATTGGATCTGCTTTAAGCTAATAAAATGCTCAGCCCATTTGTGAAATCAGAGGAAACAGAGAAACACAGAGGCTGGAATAAGAGGTAGGCAATCTATCTGCCTACTTGTAACACCTTCCCTGGACAATCACTCCTACAAAGAAAACTTGAAGCTGGGTATTTCATAAAATCTTTTAAGGTTTTTGTCTTTGTTTTTCCAGTGGGGGGAGGGGGGAAGAGGAGTGATAATTAAGATATTAACAATCAGAAATTCTGTCCTGCAAAGTGAATACCATACAACTGTAAACAAAAAGGAGGTCTACAATGAAAGATCCCTAGTGTGTAACAAAATATCCATTTAAGCCCAAACTTTCACCAGGCCAAGTAAAAGAACAAGTAACTTATTTTCTCATTTAAGAACCACCTATATGATTACATTAAAACTACCTATATGATCTCAGGCAAATCACTTGAGTCACTTCTCTTGTTTCCTTCTCAGGCATATGAAGGGATTGAACAGAAAGGTATTAAAGGGCCCTCCCATTCGCAACAAATCAGGATTCTCTATTTACTACCCCACCACTCCCTACCCCACCCAGTACACAGGCAGTTTACCAGATAACCTGAAATGCCAAATCCTGATTTCTGGGCTTAAGAAACTAAAGAGAAACTATTTTCATCACAGGAGCTGCAATACTAAAATAGATTTTTTTTCTCATATTTTTCCAAAATGCCTTTTAGACAACACCAGAAAAGATGAGTTTAATCTTCACCTTCGGGCAAATAGTTTAGAATAGCCACTAGAAGCCGGAACTGAACAGCCAAAAATGTGGAAGAACAAGGAAGTACTATCACAGCTCAGAAGGGGAGGAGAGAGCAAAGCAGAGCCAGATACAGCCTGGAAGATAAGAAGCATCACTTGAAGAAGAGGAAACAAGCTGTGACAGGCATTTACTGATCCTAAATCCCAAAGTTTTCTCAAGGAAAAATGGATCCAAAAGTTATGAGCATATGATGACAGTTTTGTTTTGTTTTCCCCACCTTATATGACTTTTCAGTGCATAAAAAGGAAAAACACTAATACTAAAGTTGAATCCTATTCTAGGCATCTAAGGCTGCCTTCATTTTCTAAGAGACCTCTGGCAAATCAAAAAAATCTCAGACCTTATAAACTACAATCTATAACCAATAAGAATTCTCTCTCCAATATCCTTGACAAGTTGGGTAGATCATTTGAGCATGGGGAATCCTGTGACTGAAAACCCATTACACCTCCAAAAATAGTCCACTGCACTCTTCAGAGGCACTTAATTGCCAGGAATTTCTTTCCTTATATCAAGCCTGCTATCTGTCTGTCACTTCCACCAAGTGCTCCTACTTTTGCCCCCTGGGGCAAGCAGAACAAATCTAACCTTTCCTACCCCCATAGAATCCCTTTGAATATTTGAATAACCAGGTCTTCCCTTCAACTCCTTTTCACATTGATGAAACATACCCATATTCTTAGACTGTCACCCATTTAGACATCTCTTGGATGTGCTGTGACATTCACAATTTCTCTCCATTTCCTCATCTGTGAAATGGGGCTACTCCTACTTGATTGCTTGCCTATAGGAGCAAATGAGATAATTGATGTAAAAACACTTTATACCTAATACTACCACTAACACTCTTTGTCAGGGACTACTATATGTGTGTCTGTATATCTACATACATATATGTATTCATATATATATATATATATATATATATATATATATATACACACACACACACACATACACTTATGTGTATATACACTTATGATTGTATATACATCTATACACATAAACACACATACATGTGTGCATAGATACATACACACACACACACACATATATATATATAAATGTGAGTTGAAACACACAAGACATCTCTTTATTCTCATGAACCAAAACTGTGCTTATAAGATAGAACTGGAAATGAACACTTACACTATAATGCAGGATAACCCCTCTAATTGATAAGCATATTTATTATTTTATTTCGGTCTTAACACTCCAGTTTTGCTGTTATCAAGGCTGTGCCTCCCTAAAGAGCAACATGCAAGGATGCTTTAAATTTTATTCCAGACAAAAGTAGCCTTCACTTTCATGTTAGGATGTCAACAAAGACTGGAGGAATTCAGCTTTAGCTCAAGGTCTGGGCCTCCTTTGCATTTTCTCTAAAAGTAATTTCCTTCTCTAGAGCAAATACCCCCCCCCTTGCTAAATCCCCTTCAGCACCACAATTACCCCTAGCCTCCCACCCACCTCCCACCCCCTTAGGAAGGCTGAAAGATTCTAAACCTGCCTTAAATCCACAGAACCTTAACCTTTGTTAAGGGATTGTCCAACCCTCCAGGCCTCCCTTCCAAATCATGGTTTTTCCTTTACTGGCTAGGCTTACCCCCTTATTAAACTTAAACACACACACATATAAGCCATTATCACAAACCCAATCACCCACTTCATGCTGCAAGTCTATGCCTGGGCCGCCCACATGGTATTCCTGGTAAATATAAACAGTGTGTCAGGAGACAGTTTGGGAATCTGTTTAACTTCCCTTGAAAGTAATGCAAAATTGAAAAAGGAAATTGGTTTCTCCTGGCTCGGAAGAGCAGAGGCAGAGATGGAAGCAGAAAGGGGACAGAGGCTAACTGCTTCTCTTGGCTTTTTTTGTTTGTTTGTTTGTTTGTTTTGTTTGTTTGTTTTTGGCTAGGCAATGGGGTTAAGTGACCTGCCCAGGGTCACTCAGCTAGTGTTATGTGTCTGAGGCCAATTTGAGCTAAGGTCCTCCTGAATCCAGGGTCGGTGCTCCATTCACTGTGCCACCTAGCTGCCCCTCTAACTGCTGCTCTTAAGGTAACAGGTGAAGTCACACACAAACCTGGGAGAGCAGCAATCCCTACCCACTCCGGTGGTTCAAGCCTTCTATGGACCAGACAACCCAGGGGAGGCTAAAGAGAGAACATTACTATGGGTCCTGAACTACAGAGAACTCAAAAAGGACCAGAGCATTCCAAGTCCAGATGGACACACACACACACACAAGTAGCCACTCCTCCAACCACCTATTACAAGTGTTTTAAGTCAAGTAAAGATCAGGCTACCTAGCCCAAGTTAAGAACAGCTCCCTAGTACAGAAATTCCCAAGTACAGAAAACTCGTTTTGAAGAGTTGTCCCAAGAAAACCTAAACCCCAAGGAATTTCCAAAACTCCAACTCTTTCCCCCCTAGAGGGAGTTCCCTAAAGCACTTTCACTACCGGTTTCGAAGGCTTCCAGACCCCCTGGGGAGAGGAAAGAAAGAGCCGGCTTTCTTACCGTTGAGTCCATTGGAGATGCTCCGATGGTGCAGGGGCGCGGACAGGTCGTCCAAGGATCTTCTGGTGGCGCCGGACTTAGGGTCCGCAGCTTTGTGAAGCGGAGGCGCGGGGGCGGCGGGCTGCTGCGGCTGCTGAGGGCCTGGCGGCGGCAGGTGCCCATGGGGGTGCAGCGGGTGGTGGTGGTGGTCCGGGCTGCCGCCGCTGCCCGTGCTGGACGTGCTGCTGCCGTCGCCCACGTCGCGGGCCCCCGTACCCCCGGCGACCCCCGCCAGGTTGGTGAGGCTGGCCTGGCTGTCGATGGAGCTGCGGGAGCCGGCGCCGCTGCGCTCTTCGTCCAGCATGAGCACGATCTCTTTGAGCTCCAGGTTCTCCCGCACCAGGGCCTCCTGGCGGGCCTCCAGCTCGCGCAGCTTCTGCTGGGACAGGGCCACCTCCTTCCACAGCACGCCGGCCGTGTGGCGACCGAAGCGCTGCCACTCACGCGACAGCTTCTTGCCTTTTTGCCGGTCGTCGTCCAGGAAGCAGCAGAGCTCCCGCAGCTCGTGGTTGTCGTCCTGCAGTTTCTGGTTGACCTCCTTGAGGCCGCGGATCTCGTGGAGGTGCAACTGCAGCCGCCGGTTGACGTCCTTCATCAGGTTCCCGTGTTCCACCATGAGGCCCATCTTCTCGCCCTCTGCCCGCCGCAGCCGCCGCGCCAGCTCCTCCTTGCTCCAGCGTAGCAGCTCCTCGTCCGGAACCTTGCTCAGATCCTCCTTGCCCGACCCTTCCGACGTGTTCTTGGCCATCGCGGCCCCGAGAGGGAGGCGCTGGACACCTTCGGGTGGGGAGGAGGAGAGAAGTGACTTTTTTCCTCCCCCTCCCCACTCTCTTGCTCCCTTGCACTAGCTCCCCGGTCACCGGTGCATCTCCGGTAAGTTGTGCTATTCTCCCCTTCCAACGCACTCGGACTAAAGAACACCTCTGCCTTGGGTGGGAGGGGCAGACGGACTCCCCCAGCGCCCCTTCCCCCGGCCCGGAGGCGGGGTGAGAGGGAAAGCCGGCACCTGCTGGAGTCCGCGCTGCACAGCAGCCTGTTCTCCGTAGACAATCGGGCTTAGGGCTCTCGGCTCTCGGCTCCTCTGCGTAGCGCACCTGGGGCTCTCCTCCCGGCTCGCCTCGCTCCGGGCAGGAGGCGGAGAAATTTCACTGCCCCGAGCTAAGCGCGGGCTGGTCAGTGTGGGAGAAAGGCTCCGGCATCTGGCACGTCTCAATGGGCCCCGCGGCCGAGGGAGACCCTCACCGGGATAGTTCCTACTCGCCATCTGCTTCGATGTGGCTGCCTTGCCCTTGCCCTTCCAAACAACGCACGGTTGCACCCAGGTCCCCGGCTCAGTTCGCGTCCTGCCCCCGCCTCGGGCTTCAGCTTAGTCCCTACACTCGCTAGTCTTCCGTCTGGTTGACTCGACTCAATGCGCTAGGAGCCCGCTCGGGGTGGCTAAGCGTTCCGCTCTATGGTCAGGAGGAGGTGGAGGAGGAGACGGAGACGGAGAGACCCCTCCCTCCTCCCTCCTCCCCCCGGCCCTCGGAGCCCGAGGCGGCCCCACCTACCCTAGGAGGGAGGAGCGAACGTAACAGCTCCGGCTTTGCCCGCCTGCCTGCGGGAGAACTGGGGTTGGGGGAGGGATGATTGGAGCTAAGGAGGCGGAGAGAAGCGCTGACCAGCCCACCTTGTAACCTCCCCCACTCCACCCGTACCTCGCCTAGAGTCCTCCGGACCCGGCGTCTAGCCAGAGGTGGAGAGGAGCTGGTCTCCCACCCTACGCCAGCCCGATTGGGTGACTCCGAGGGGTGTGGGAGGGGCGGGATGGGCTCGGGGGGAGGACGCCTAGATGGTTGAGTCTTTTCAGGTTGTGGTTGCCTCCTCCCTCCAGTGCCCCAGAGCTCCCCTCCCCTGCTCTCTCCCGGCAGGTTCAAGTTACTGCTCCTAGAGAATGGATATTTCGGCCCCTCCCCCACTCAGCCAATCAGAAGGCGGTAAAGCGCTTTGAAAATACAGGTACAAAATAGGCCTGGGACAGGGTTGAAAAGGTAGGAGAGGAGCTTGTCTCAAAGGAGATGATAGTGATATTCTGCTTCTCCCCACCCCCTACCACGATCCTATTCCTCCAATTCCCCGCCTGCCCCAAATAATCATAGAGATGGCCTTTGCTGAAATCCTCTTCTGCTTCCCTGAAATGCCTTGAAAGGGTAAACAAAATCCATTTCGATTTCTTAGTTTACGATCTGAACGGAGCCGAGAAGAAGGGGGGCGGTCTCCTAGTTCTCAGCTGATATGGCTATAGTTCGGCCGGCCAGGGAGGGCAGGGTGGAGGGAGAAGAGGGAGCGGCTTGGTGGTAGAAGGCTCCCGGTCCTACCTCTCTACCTGGGAGTGTGAGGTGAAATAGGGGCGGGGAGTTAATAAGGCCTCAATTTACTTATCTGCAATAAAAGCTCTCATTTTCATTGGGTTTTTAAGCCTCGCTTTCACAGCCCCCTCAAATAGTGCCAGTAGTATTATCCTCATTTTACAAATGAGGAAACTGAGGATAACCAGATGGTCTCTAAAATGTTTTACTATTCTTTATCTTATTACTCTAAAGTGATCAGTGAGTTCCTAATGGCCAAATTTAATGGTCCATTTTCAAGCAACAGGCTGATGCTCTAACTTTTCTGCAGCCTTTAATTCAGTTTACAACTCTTTGCCTCCTTAGTCCCTCTGGACCCTTTGGACCTTTTCCACACTGGCCTATCTTGGCTGACTTCCTACTCATCTGAACACTCTTTTTTTAAGTCTCTTTTGAAACCCTAATGGAATCTTAATGAACCTGATAGATTGGTAATAATATGGGGGATATATAAAATAAAATCCTTGAAAATAAATAGAAATGTCTTTTGCAGTATTGTCATTCATGTCAAGTCCTTACTTTTCTCTCTACTCTTTCACTTGGTGACCTTAGCAGGGTTTTTTTTGCTTCAGTTATCTCATATATGGGGGAGAGGGAGAGAGAGAGAGAGAGAGAGAGAGAGAGAGAGAGAGAGAGAGAGAGAGAGAGAGAGAGAGAGAGAGAGAGATCGTGATCCACCTCTAGTTTGTCTTCTGAGCTGCAGTTCCATATCACCAACTACTTATGGGCATTTCAAGCTTGAATGTCTGGCAGACATCAGAACAGAGCTCATTATCTTTCCACCCAAGTTCTAATGAACTTCTCTACTTCAGGTGAGGGCACCAACCTAGGTGTCCTCACTCTGCCTTAGCCCACATATCAACAGATGCCAAATCTTGTCATTTGTAACTGCCTAATATGTCTTTGCATTGTTTTGCTCGTCTCTGCTCACATTGCTACAATTCTTGTTCAATCCCTGTGGCCTGGACTATTACAATAGCTTTCTAATTAGTTTCTCCCCACTTCAATCAACTATCTACATAACTAACAAAGTAATTTTCTTGAACTTCAGGTCTGACAATTCTTTCGCCTCTAGGATTGAAAATTCTGTCATTTAAAGCTCACAGTGTGGTCCCATACTGCCTTTCTAGCTATATTATACTTTACTCCTTTCTATGGTCCAGCCGAACTGGGCTGGCTATTCCTCATATGGAACACTCCCTCTGTCTTCTTGATGCCTTTGCAATGGCTATCTTCCATGCTTTGAATTCACTTCTTTCTCTACAATTTGGAATCCCTGGTTTCTTTCAAGACCCAGCTCAAGTGCGGCCTTCTGTTGGAGACCTTCCAGGCCTAGAGGAATGCAAGCTCCTTGAAGGCATTGACTGTTTTGATTTTGTGTTTCTATCTCCAGTGTTGTTGTTGTTTTTGTCCTTTGTTCTTAAAGAGGACCATGATATCCAGAAGATGATGCCATCACTTGCAAATGAATTGGATTTAAGTGAGGTAGGGCTGTGCAAAGTCACAAGCCTCATTTTCTCCTCCACAGCCATCTGGGTCCAGTGGCCAGGTATAGATCAGGATGGCTGGAGATGGCCCAGGATATAGTGGGAGACCTTTGCCTTTTCAAGCTAAGATCCTCCCAAGTTCTCACTTTGACTGAAGCCCATTCAGTGATTTAGGCTGGTGAAGAAATAAGCCAAGGAATAGCCTCTTTTATCTAATTTTTTAAAAAAATCAGCCTGGGAAGGGAAGACCCTCAGGGTTTCTGGCCAAAACAGAAACAATTACTATTTACATTCACTCTGAGCCACCAGGGCCCAAACGATGACACTAAGTGATGCTTGAGCTGGAACCTATTGTTGGTCAATCAATGAGAGCCAGATCAAAATTGAGTTTAAGGCAGGCCTGCACAACATGTGGCTTGGCTGCTTAGGGCCCTCCAAAGGATTTTGGGTGGCCCATGAAAAATGTAGGGTTGGGTAGCTAGGTGGTGAAGTAGATGGAGCTCTGGCCTTGGAGTCAGGAGGACCTGAGTTCAAATCTGGCCTCAGACACATGTCACTTACTAGCTGTGTGACCCTGGGCAAGTCACTTAACCCTGATTGCCTCACTAAAAAGCAAAAAAATTTAAAAATTTAAAAAAAAAATATAGGGTTGCCACATCACACTCTCCTATTTGTTACGTGACTCTCGGCAACCAACCATCATCAATCTGTCTCTAGTCTAACCTATCTTCAGCCCGAAGAAATTTACATGCTGTGCAGGTCAGGCTTAAGGCATGGTCTTTAAGAAAGAAATACAGCCAGTAAGCCCCAGAATATCTTGCTAGGTTTCAGCCATCAAAATTTACCTTCCTTTGGTCAGAGCATTCATGTGGATAGAGGGAGGGGAAAGAGGGAAGGAAGAGGAGAGAAAGGAGCTGTAACTGGTCAGTTGGGTCCCCAGTGAGGCAGCTCAGACTATTCACAGGTTGTTGTTTGTCCTTTATTCTGGAAGAGGACTGTGACATCAGGAAGATGATGCCACAACTTGTAAGTGAATTTGATTGAAGTGAGGGAGGTCTGTGCAAGGTCACCAGCCTCACTTTCTCCTCTAGAGCTCTCTAGCTCCAGCAGCAAGATATCAATCAGGACAAGACATTGCCCCTATCTCCAGTGTACCACAATGCCTGGGGTCATATAGTAGGTATTATTAATAGAAGCTTATTAGCTGATTGATTACTAGGATATGACAGGCTGATTAGGACTTCCTTGGGTTACTTTTTGTTTATTTGTTTGTTTTAACCAGAGGGGCCAGAGATTTTTACAATTTTGAGAAACCTTCCCTGCTATTTTGGGAGTCTTTGATGTTGTCATTAGCATCCCTTCAGCAACCTATAATAACAATAATAACACTTTATATTTATATGATGTTTTACATATAACCCTGGGAGTAGGCAGGGCTGATGGTATTATCCCCACTTTATTAATGAGGAAACTGAGTCCAAGAGGGTGCAAGCCACAGAATCACAGAATGGGAATTGGAAGGGACCTTGGCATCCATCTAATCCTAAAGGAATCACTGCTATAACATATGGGCAAATGATTATCCAGCCTTTGCTTGAAGACCTCCATAGGGAACCCATTACCTCTAAAAGAAATCCAATCATTGCAATGACTAACCATGATTTCATAGGAATCATTATGAAACGTGCTACCTATCTCCTGATTGAGAGGTGACATGTCAGAGATTTTTTTAAATTTGGCCAATATGGGAATTTGTTTTGCTTGGTTTTACACACACACACACACACACACACACACACACACACACACACACACACGTAATGAGGGTTTGGTTTTTCTTGTTTCCTCAATGTATATATGTTGGGAGTGGGGAGAGGTGAGAGGGAAAGGAAG